GCGATCCGGCTGGGAGTCAGCCCAGGAGGAGTCACTGAAGCCAGAGAGGAGGGGAGGAGAAGAGCCTCCGAGGGTGAGGACATAGTCCTTGGTACCACGGAGGTAGCGGAGGACCCGCTTCGCTGCAGCCCAGTGCTCATCAGTGTGGCGACCGGTACCGACGAATCGAGCAAGAACACTGATGGGGTAGGCAAGGTCGGGGCGGGTGCACATCATAGCGTACATCAGCGAGCCGACGAGCTCAGCGTAAGGATGGTCAGAGGAGGAGGGAGCAGGAGGAGGGGCAAGCTGGTGGTCGGTCTGCAGGGGAGTGGTAACCGGCTTGGCCTGCGCCATGTCGAACCGCTGCAAGACTTGGTCGATGTAGAAGGACTGAGAGAGGGTAATGGTGCGCGATGTGCGGTCCCGGGTGATGGTCATGCCCAGATAGTGCTTGAGCTCACCCAGGTCCTTGCACTTGAGGCGCGCATGCAGGGCGTCCTTCACTTGCTGCATGGCGGCAGCATCGTCAGCGAACAGGATCATGTCGTCGACATACACCAGGATGAAGAAGCGGGTGGGAGAGGAGCGAAGGAAAAGGCTGGCATCAGACTGAGAGGCATGGAACCCCAAGGACTGCAGAGTGGCGGCCAGCTTGTTGTGCCACTCGTGAGGAGCCTGCTTGAGGCCATAAACCGGGTGGCGCAGCTCCCAGACTGTGTTGGCAGGGAAGGCTGCGTGAACCTGGAGGCCGCCGCAAGAGGACCCGCTCCTGGAGCTCGCCTTGCAGGAAGGCGTTGGAGACATCCATGGAGGCAATCTCCATGCCAATGCGAACAGCATAGTCGAGGATGGCACGGAGAGTTGGGACCTTGGCAGTGGGAGAGAATGTCTCCCAGTAGTCGATGCCATGGGTTTGGGTGAAGCCCTTGGCACAATACCGGGCCTTGTAGACCGGCTCCTCACCCGGCAGCTGCTTCACTCGGAACACCCATAGGCCTTCAACAATGACGTCGTCAGGAGAGGGGACAATGTTAACGAATGAGCCATTGCGGATGAAGGCCTCGCATTCAGCAAAGATAGCCTGGATCCACTTGGCAGCATTGGGGCAGGTGATGGCCTCAAGGAAGTTGGACGGAGTGAATCTGGTGGGAACGGTAGCGATGCCAAGGATGAGGAGGCCAAGGAAGCCCGGGTAGAGAGGCGTGAGGGAAGGTGTTTGCTGCTGAACGCCAATGAGCTCCTCATGGGAGTCCTCAATGAAGGGAAGGGAGGGTGGGGGTGGTGTTGGCCAACCCCATGGATGGCCTATGAGTGGGCCGTGAGAGCGAGTGTGGATGCGTGGGAGGATGAACGGAGAGGTGGTGCGGCGATGCCGATGAGGTTGCTGCAGTGGCTGCTGCTGCTGCTGCTGCTGTGGCCGCTGTTGGTGCTGCTGCTGCACCTCCTGCTGCGGCTGCTGTTGCTGCACTGCCTGCGGTTGCTGCAGCTGCTGCTGCTGCTGCTCCATCCGCTGCTGCACCTCCTGCTGCTGCTGCTGCTGCTCCATCCGCTGCTGCTGCTGCACCTGCTGCTGCTGCTGTTGCTGCTGCTGCTGCTGCTGCTGCTACTCCTTCTGCTGCTGCTGCTGCTGCTGCTGCTGGTGCGATGAGGCAGAGTGAGCAGGGGAGTCAGGGACAGCTGGGTCGTAAATGTCACCTGAGGAAGGAGGAGGGGGAGGAGCAGGATTTGGAGGAAGGAGGGGAGCCTGGGGAAGGAGTGGGGGAATGACAGTATCAGCCCAGGTGAGGGGGCGGGAGAGAGGAGGAAGGGGGTCGGAAGGCGGAACAGAATGATAGAACGGGATGCTCTCATCGAACACCACGTCACGGCTCTGTAGGAGGCGGCCTGAGGATGGGTGAAGGAAGAGGTAACCAGGGGCAGAGCGAGCGTGGCCAAGGTAGACACACTCAATGGCCTTGGAGGCGAGCTTTCCTGCCTGCCGAGAGCGGTCAGGTGGGGGGATGAGGACATATGCCTTGCAACCCCAGATACGGAGAATGGCAGCATCTGGCTTGGTGCTAGCCCAGAGCTCAGTGGGAGTGACAGACTGGCGTTGAGGATGTGGGTAAAGATTAGTAAGGAGAGCAGCATGGACAAGGGCATAGCCCCAAAGAGGAGGGGGCGTGGAGGCATGAGTGAGGAGGCAGCGGGCCGTCTTGGTGATCTCACGAATGCGACTCTCAGCAACACCGTTCTGCTGAGGGGAGTGGGGAAGGGTATGAGTCTGCTGGATGCCATGGGTTGAGCAGTAGGAGGAGAGGGTGCGGTTGAGAAACTCACCACCGCCGTCGGAATGGAGGCGGCGGATGGGGCGACCAAAGTGGACTCGGCACTGCTCGGCCCAGGTAACGATGACAGCAGGGGCCTCGGCCTTCGTGTGGAGGAGGAACACCGAGGAGTACCTGCTGTGGTCGTCGACTAGGACAAGCATGTACCGGTGCCCTTGGCGGGAAGGGGAAGGGTTAGGGCCCCAGAGGTCCATGTGGACGAGGTCAAGGGGGGCAGCAGCAAAGGAAGGATGACTGAGGTGAGGCTGTTGTTTGAGCTTTCCATGAATGCATGTGGCGCATGGGGGAGCGGAAGAGGACGGGAGGGGAGGAAGAGTGGGGGGAAGACCGTCAAGCAAGCGGGAGGAGACGGCTTTACAAAGTGTGGGAAAGTTCATATAACCAAGGCGGTGGTGGATGAGAACAGCGGGGTGGGACAGTGCGCGACAAGAGCATGGGGAGGAGGTGGAGTTGGAGGAAGGTGGCTCTAGAGGGAGGGGAGGGGGGAGAGTGGAGGTGCCTGCACGAGTGGTCACGTGGCATGAGGAGGGGCGGGGTGTGCGGAGGATGTACTGATGAGAGCGAGGGCAAAGTGGGAGGCGATGAAGGAGGCGGCGAGTGGGGCCGTGGAGGAGGTCACAGTAGGTGGCAGAGGCGGGGAAGAGAGTAGTGATGCCAGCCTGTTGGAGTTCACGAATGGAGAGCAGGTTATGACGAAGGGAGGGAATGTGGAGACCAGTGACCACTCCAGAGGGGAAGGGGGGGCAGGGGAGGGTGGAGAGATGAGTGCAAGGGATGGAGAAGCTGGAATCAGCACCATGAACGTTGGTGGGGAAAGGGAGGGAGGTGAGGGTGACGGCGTCTTTGAGGGCAGTTTCAGTGGCACCACTATCGAGAACAAAGTCAATCGTGAGTGAGGAGGGAGCTGAAGACACAGGGTACTGGAAATCACTGGCATTAAAAACAGAGGGATACATGGAAGTGGAAGCAGGGGAAGAACGCATGAGCTCGCCTAGAAAGCTGGAGTGGGAGGCGGGAGCACTAGGGGAAGGAGAGCCCCAGAGGGGAAAGCCAGGAGGACCTGGTGTGGCTGTGGCAGCCATGGCGGCGGTGCCAAAGCCAAGCTGCTGCTGCTGCCATGCAGATGCTGCGGCTGCGGCTCCTGCAGCTGCGGCTGCAGCCTGACCACCAGAGCCCCACTGCTGCTGCTGCTGCAGCTGCTGCAGCAGCTGCAGCTGCTGGAAGCGGCGAAACTGCTGCAGCTCCTGGGGAGTTATGGGGTCAGCGACAGAGGAGGAGGAGGAGGAGAGCTGAAGATGAGAGGGGAGGAAAGACGGAAGATTTTTGACATCCTGGAGAGAGGGGCGGGGATCCATGGCAGACCAGCGTGGGGGTGTGCCAGTGTTGCCGCGCTCGAACCAGGCGTCATCATACGCCTTGAAGCAGGTCGCGGGGGGATGGTTGGTTTGGGTGCAGCGCTCACCCGCCCTGGGACCAAAACGGCGAAGATAGGAACATGGGGGGAGAGTGCCAGGGCGGCCACCACGGCTACCAGATGAGCCACTACTGCCTCCACCACCACCACTGCTGCCACCCTCGACCCCGCCACCACCGCCGCCGGCTCCGCTGCCCCCACAACCGCCACCTCCACCCCCTCCCTGAGGGTTGGTGCGGCCGCCACGTGGGCGCCCGCCACGACGCGGCTGTGTGACTGCAAGCTGGGGGTTTTGGGACTCGGTGGAGTTCAGGCCGGAGGGGGGGGTTGAGAGAAGGCGGGCCTCAGCGTCAATGATCCATTGGACCACAATGTCAAGGGAGGCGCGGGGCTGAGCCTCAGTGAAGGCGATGACGCGCACTTCATATTGAGGGAACAGGCCTTCGAGGAGACGGTAGATCTGAAGGTTGGGGGGGAGAGTAGTCTGGCGAGCCTCAAGGCGGGAGGCAAGGTCCAGGAGACGGCTGGTGTAGTCAACGGCGCCAGCACTATGTTCGATCGTGATGCTAAAGTATTCCTTGAAGAGCGGTCCGACAGCATCGAAGTCGGTGCGTTCGAACATTGCCTCAAGCTCGAGCCAGATCTGGCGGGAGCCGATGCGACGTGCCTGGAAGTTGCGCATGAGCGCAGACGGGATGGCAAGGAGAAGGGCACCAGTAGCACGGCTGTCCGCCTCGAGCCAGGCGCGACGACGCTCAGCAAATCGCGCAGAGTCAGCGGCATAAGCGGCGGCGGTAGCGGCATGCTGGGTGCGGAGGGTTGCCGACCGCTCGTGTTCCTCCAACGCGATCACGTAATCAGTATAAGCACGAGGAACTCACGACGCTGAGTAAGGAAGAGCTGCTCAACTTCAGCGGTGGCAGCGCGAGTGCTGGTGCCAACGGGTACCATGGGGGGCGGAGGTTCCTCGCCGGGATGGGGAATGAGAGGGGGGGGATCGCCAGGGTGAGGCGGCGGGTCGCCAAGGTCACCCTCTGGGAGACCAAGCATGATGTCCAGGAGGCGGAACGGCAGGACATATGCACTGCCGAGGACGCGGTGGAGGCTGCCGACGAAGGAATAACAGTTGGTTGCTGAGTTGTCGGCAGCGCGCACGAGATGATCGAGGGTCGAGACGTCGACGGGAGGGGGAAAGGATGCCATTGGTGACACGTAGTGGGAGGAAGGCGACGGCGGGTGGACCCGCGGTGGCTGGGAGGGAGCGGCGGCGGGTGGACCCGCGGCGGCTCAAAGAGGAGGGGAGGATGGGGATGGCTGTAGATACTGCTGCTGCTGCTGCTGCTTGCTGCTGCTGCTGCTGCTCCTTTTGCTGCTGCTGCTGCTGCTGTTGCTGTTGCTGCTGCTGCCGCTGCTGCTGCTGCCACTGCTGCTGCTGCCGCTGTCGCTGCTGCTGCTGCTGCTGCTCCTTCAGCTGCTGCTGCTGCGGCTGCTACTGCTGCTGCTGCTGCTGCTGAGTCTGCTGCTCCTTCTGGTGCTGCTGCTGCTTCTGCTGCTGCTGCTACGGCTGCAGCAGTGGAAAGGCGGCGATGAGCAGGTGCAGGTGAGGAGGCAAAAGATGAGGAAAGATGGCAGTAAGCTGATGAAAATAGGACTTGGTAGAAATTTCAGTAGCACTTCGTGATCACATCCAGGAAAGTGTGCAAACTTCGGAAAGCGAAATCTGACAATCCAAGAGATGAAACAGTCCGAAATTTTACGACGTTGTAGCTGACACTAAGAGCGTTCTTTTGCAAGTCAAATCACTCAATTCTGTCATTTATCGAGCGAGCTATGGCGTTTGGCGCATTGGGGGGTTTTTGAAAATCCACCCAACAGAAAACTAGTTGAGAGGCGGCGGCTAGGAGTCTAGCAGCGGCGATGGAGGGGACGGCAATGAGGTGCACGTCGGAAGGGGACGGGGAGGAAGCGTGGGGAAGGATCGGGATTTAAAAGTTGGCGTGAGCCATTATTGCTCTATACCATGTTAGAAACAGAAAGGTTCAATTTATTGATGAAGCAAAGGCATTACATAGGAAGAGAGGGATGAGCTAGGAAGGGAAGGTTGGAAGGGAAAGGGGGGTTAGGACCAATCACAAGGGAGGGAGGATCCTTCCAAATGTGGTTGACCACCAGTTGGAGGTGGTCCAAGTGTGGTGTACCACCAGTGGTTTAGCCAACCCACTTGTGATGCCCCCACAATTGTGGTCCTTGTGTTTGGGGGCTCCAACCACAATTGGGTTGGATTGACACCCCAACACAGGTGTACACCCAACTAGGGATGTAAACACAATATACACAACTAGCATAGCATGGTATATTCTAACAGGCTTCATCTCGGTTCCACCCGGTAAGAGTAAAATATTTTTGTCAAGAACTGAAGCTCGAATAGTATGGTTAAGTATCCCCGGTGAAGGATGTCCTAACCCTTGATGACAAATATCTTCCGTTGCTTTGTGTCCTATTGATCGCAGATAAAAATCAGCGTTAGTATAAAAAGAAGAAACGATGAAAAGAGAAATCGGTGGTGATTCGTCGAGTTCTCCAGGAACGAAGCGATTAAGAGGTAACTTTGTCGTTGTAATTTCCACTTCGAGTACTTCTTCCAATTGAAGAATTAATTCCCCTTCCTCAATTTCTGTGTCTTGTGAATCTACTGCAGGTTGACCAACGAGAATCCCTGTTTCTATTTTACTACTATTCTGCTGCTCTGCTTTACTGCTGCTGCTGGGTCCCCAAGGTCCTGAAGGTTTGTTTTCAAGTTGTTGTAAAGTGTCGTAATAATTTCTCCATGCTGATGTGTCTTCCTCTGCTGTGTTTGTTGGCCAGGAATCAAGAGCCGTGATAACTGCAGCTGCTGTACGAGATCCTGTGGGAACTGCAGGTGCACGGAAGTCGATGTCAACGTTCTGAAAATCAGCTTGTTCGGGATGTTGCCAAGGTCCAAGAGATAACACTCTCTCAGAAGATCCAGTAGTCCCTTGCGACTCGAATTGAAGAACGGAGACCCCATACTGAGTGGCGGCTCTCCCGATGTAAGTATTTGAATCATTATGATAAAGTTCTTGATCCATTGTCTCACAGTTGCCTTGTGTCCGGATCTTATGTCGCAGGAGTTGAGCCGTTAATTGAAGATTAAAGCCAAGTCCCTCGATGATGAGGACATTAGTAACGTGTAAGGACAATCCTGTGTCCACGGAATCCAACATGACGCTCCCAATTGACTTTGCTATTATGGTTTGTCCATTTGCGACCGTGACAGGAAATGGACGTCGAAGCGGACGCTGATGAGTAATGAAGAGCATCTCGGCAGAGCACATGTGTTGTCCACAGCAACTCTCAAGATACCAAGTGTTCAGTCCTGCAATAACCGGAGCAAGGTTAGCATATACTTGAGGTAAAACCATGTTCTCAGATTGCTCGTTGAAGCTTTCGTCATCGTCATCGTCGAAATCTGACTCTGTTGCATGAACTGTTGTAACGCAACTAAAGACTTGTTTTCCTAATATTGCAGGAGTTGTTGTCGCTGGATTCTGCTTCACGGGTTGCTTGAACTGCTGCGACTGCTGCTGTCCCCCTCTTTTCCTATCAGCTTGAAGCTTGTTGCAAAATTTTATTCTGTATCCATCCCTTTTGCAGTAGTGGCAGAAGTACTTGTTAACGCGTTTCGTAGGCATTGAATAAAAACTGATGTTTACTGCTCCTTTCTTGTTACGTGCTGTTTGCATGTCAAGATCTTGCTGCTCTGCTTGAAGGATGGAGCAGCTTTCTGCTTCCGAAAGATTTGGTTGAAGACGAAGAAGAGATCGACACTGCCGCCATTCTGCTCCAAGACCGGCAAGAAGGACTGTTATAAACATGTCCTTTAGGAAGTATCCGCCGCAATTTTCCAATTAGTCACGAAGTGTTTGAGCCCTATTGACATAATCCGAAACGTTCTCGTTACCCTGCATCTGTATAGTTGTCAGTTGTGAGAGAATTTTACTCACGGAAATTGTGTCCTGTGCCATATACAGCCCCTTCAAATGCGTCCATGCAGATTCGGCTGGAGTCAAACAGGTGTGAAGAGAGCGTATGCCAAGCTGCTCCTTCACCGACAGATTGCGGATAAGGACAGTGTAAGCGCTGAGTGAGGCATGAAGAAAACTCTGTTGTTCCATTTGTGTTCCCGTAACAGGATACGTGTAATCGCCACTGAAGAACGGCCACAATCCAGTGGATTTTGTGAGAAGCTCGAACTCAAAACTCCAGGCATAGAAGTCAACGCCATTAAAAGGTATGGTTGTCTTGATTTGTGTATTGCTCAAAAGATTCGGTGCCTGAAAGACAGGACCAGTGAAAGAAGTCTGCTGCTGCAGAAACTGCTGTTGTGGTTGGTGTTGTTGTTGCTGCTGTTGCTGTTGTTACTGAAACTGTTGTTATGCTTGATGCTGTTGTTGAAGAAATTGAAATTGTTGATGTTGAGCAGGTGTAAATGCAAACGAGGAAATGGAGCTTGGAGCGACTGCAACTCTTGCATACCTTGAGCCATCGATACTCATTCCACTAAAAGCTGTTGATATTGATGCTGCTGCTTGTTGCTGTTCTGTTGCAGGTGTAGAGGACGAAGTCCCTGGTGGATGCACGGTAGGCAAACCTTGCTGCTGGTGCGGCATCCCAATTGAAGAATAAGCAGGTGGAAAGTTTCCAGCTGCACAATTCCCTGTTTGACCAGTGTTGACTGTAGGATTTGTAACACCCGTAGGTCCAGTTGTTGAGGAACCAGATGATGGAGCCAATGATGGTCCAGTCATGACTGTCGATAATCGAATTGACAAGAGCCTTCATTCCAGACAGCTCTCATACCATGAAAGAATTTGAAAGGTGGTGCAGGAGACGAAGTATAGAATCTGCAGACACAAGTACTTGAAGTAGAAAGTAATACTAGAAGTACCTCCAGTCACAGCCAGTATTAACAAGTTGAACTGTAATCCCCCGTATATAACACCCTATGGTGTATATAAAAATTCACTAAAAAATGACTGGGTGTTAACAGTGGCTTGGAAAAATATAGTGCCCATGTGTTATATAAAATGCAATTTGAATTTCAGTGTTTCAGGCCATGTGTGTTCGCAAATGCGCGGAGCGACTGTTAGCGATGTACAGCATCCGCTAAGACAAAACTCACGAACCAGGCGTCATTGGCCGATCCCTGCTAAGTGCTGTGGTTAGGGCCAGGTCTGTGCCGCACCTGCGACAGTCAAGACATGAGAGGATTTCGCTCGGGAGGATTTTTGACCGTCAAATCACAACAGAATCCGCGACTTCGACGGTAGAAATCCTCCCGAGTCTCGATTTCGCGCTGCAACTTGTTTTGATGTTTCTGCCCGTTTTTTTGCTGCTAATGGTAGTTGACATTGCGTTTTTCATCCTGTTCATTTTTTTCTTTTCTTTTCTTTTCTTTTCAATCGAGCTGAGCTTGAAAAACTACGAAATACTGTTCTTTGCTGCATAAAACGAGGAGGGTGTTATGTAAAATGCAACCCCCGAAAAGCAGGTGCTCTCTTAAATGCACCCTATTATAAGCTCTCCTCCGCATAAACTGTCAACTTATACATGTGTTGCATGTAGAAGTTATAGGCTAGTGTAGATGTGTGTTCCTAGTGAGTACAACCCCAACTGTTATATGTGCTGTAATCTCCACCTAGTAATCATTCTTGCATTCTAACATGGTATCACGGTCGGAGTGGAGACACAGCACGGGGAGACCGCGGTGCTGGAGGGAGTTCTTGCTATGGGGGTGTTGGTTCTGGGGGTGTTGTCATTGAGTGTTCTCCCGGCGGTCGTCGTGCCTGCTGCGCGGTCCGGGGGTCGGGCACAAGCCATCGTCGCCAGCCGTCGCAGCCGGTCTCCGCTCTTTGGCCCTGCTCGGCCTTCCCTCCCCTGACCGCTCGCCGGTGTCTCCCCCGCCCACCTCCTCACCTTCCGGTCTACGGCCCTGTGTTCCCGCCGCCGGACTCGTCTCCGGCACGTCTTCCTCCTCGTTCCCCTCTTGTGTCCCCTCCGCTGTCTCCTGACCCTACCCCTCCGTCCCACGTTTGGTCTCGCCGTCCCTCACGTGCTCGCCCCGTCTCTCCTGTCCTGCGCTCCACCCTATGTTGCTCTGTTCCCACTCGTCTCATCCTCCCCTCCTCCGTCGCTCCTCCCTCGTCGCTTGTTGTTGCCCTCCTCCGCTGTCTGACTACTTCCGTGCCGCTTGTCCCCTTGTCCCTCGGGTTCTTGCTTCTCTTGTTACAGACCCGTCTGTTCCTGTCTC